CGGCTCGCGCTGCTGCTGCTCCCCGGCGTAGACCCCGGTTAGCTGGCGGCTCCCTCGGGGCAGTCTGCACCCCGACGCGCGAGCCCCTGCAGCTGGCTTCGTGCTGGAGGGTTTTCCATCCCGGAGTCCTAACCGGGGAGTCTCTCAGGTTGAGGAAAGGGGATGAGGAAGCTCTGGCGTGGAGGGAAGACCGTAGTCTTAGATAACGTGGGTCAACGTGGGCTCTGTGTGGGGCCCGTAGTTATTTTGCGTATCTGCAGCTCTCTGCTCTCATCCCGACAATGTTTGGAAATGGGGACGCTCCAGAGACTGCTTTATAGAGTCATTTATATGTAAACTGACTAAACAAAATGGTCTGTTCCAGCTAAATTTTGTTCCTGTCTCCCTATTAGCTCTACTTCACAGTGTCTGGTGCTATTTTACACATAAACCTTACTCTGTTAGCACCTTCTCTGAGACTCTTTAACACATTTTTGTACTGATGATACCCAAAAACAACAGCGTAATAAGGACGCCCATACCACACAATTACGCATTTGGGCAGGACCTAGAACCATGACGATTTATAATATGTGGCAGAGAGGTTAGAGAGAAGCATCCTGTGGTTGTAGTGAGTAAGAAATGGTTTCTCTAAGGAAGAGATTCTAATCTTGCACAGAAACTAATCATAATGTGAGATGGAATGTACGCTCCATAGGAGACATCAACAACTTAATATTGGTGTTGAGAAATTGAAAAATCCACTTTGGGCTAGGAGAGATACAAGAAGACTTTATGGGAGAGAGAGCTTTGCTGCTGGGCTTTCTAGAATACAGTTTTATCTGATAGCGAGGAGAAAACGAGGAATAAATTGCAAAAGATTTTCAGCGGCTGAAAAAGGAAATGCCCTGCAAGATTCACTTTAAGTTTATAGCCAGCAGACCCACTGCATTTTCTTAGTTCACTCTCCTGTGACCCAAGATGACTTTCAACAACTCTTTTGTCTTTAAACCTTCAATATTACCTCCTGCCCTTCCTCAATCTCAGATGTTAACTTCTTTCACTAAGAAAATGGAAGCAATCAGAAGAGAAAAACGTTATTTTCACCACCAAATCTACTAACATTCCTATTCTGTGTTTCCTACGGTTAAAATGATTGACCCCTCCCTGCCATCTCAGATCAAACTTCCCCTCGGGCGTTGGATCCCATCTTCTTTGCTTACTCATCTATTTGCAGTTATCCCTTCATATTCTTGCACCATTAATTTCTCTCGCGCGTGCTCCCTCTCGAACCATTCCCCACCAACGAACTTAGTGTTCTCTCCCAAATCTCTAAAAAGCCTTCCCTAGAACCTAAATTATTTGATGCTCCCCCTTATGGCAAAAATCTTCGACCATCTTACCCCCTTTTCCTCGAACCCACCCCAATCAAGCTTGCATTCCCACCACCGAAACCATCCCTGTCAACGTCATCAGCGACCTCCACGTGGCTAAGTCCCAGTGGTCAAGCTGCAGTCCGCATTTTACGTGATGTGGCAGAGAGGTTAGAGAGAAGCATCCTGTGGTTGTAGTGAGTAAGAAATGGTTTCTCTAAGGAAGAGATTCTAATCTTGCACAGAAACTAATCATAATGTGAGATGGTGTTGAGAAACTGAAAAATCCACTTTGGGCTAGGAGAGATACAAGAAGACTTTATGGGAGAGAGAGCTTTGCTGCTGGGCTTTCTAGAATACAGTTTTATCTGATAGCGAGGAGAAAACGAGGAATAAATTGCAAAAGATTTTCAGCGGCTGAAAAAGGAAATGCCCTGCAAGATTCACTTTAAGTTTATAGCCAGCAGACCCACTGCATTTTCTTAGTTCACTCTCCTGTGACCCAAGATGACTTTCAACAACTCTTTTGTCTTTAAACCTTCAATATTACCTCCTGCCCTTCCTCAATCTCAGATGTTAACTTCTTTCACTAAGAAAATGGAAGCAATCAGAAGAGAAAAACGTTATTTTCACCACCAAATCTACTAACATTCCTATTCTGTGTTTCCTACGGTTAAAATGATTGACCCCTCCCTGCCATCTCAGATCAAACTTCCCCTCGGGCGTTGGATCCCATCTTCTTTGCTTACTCATCTATTTGCAGTTATCCCTTCATATTCTTGCACCATTAATTTCTCTCGCGCGTGCTCCCTCTCGAACCATTCCCCACCAACGAACTTAGTGTTCTCTCCCAAATCTCTAAAAAGCCTTCCCTAGAACCTAAATTATTTGATGCTCCCCCTTATGGCAAAAATCTTCGACCATCTTACCCCCTTTTCCTCGAACCCACCCCAATCAAGCTTGCATTCCCACCACCGAAACCATCCCTGTCAACGTCATCAGCGACCTCCACGTGGCTAAGTCCCAGTGGTCAAGCTGCAGTCCGCATTTTACGTGACCTCTCAGCAGTATTTGCTGTGGTTGATCATTGTCTTCTTGAAAGACTTTCTTCATGTGCCTTTTTGGGCATCACGCTGTCCTGGTTTTCCTTCTTCCACTCTGGCTACTCTTCAGTTTTATTCATCTCTTCCACTGGTGAGGACACTTGGTGAGGACACTTAACCCTGTTTTCCTTCATAACCCTAGCCAAGCCTGACCCATGGCAGACACTCCATTGTTGAATGGATGCATTGAATGTTTACTAATACGGGCTACATAAAGGCCAGGAAAGCGGGGTGGGGCCATATTATTTAGGGCTTGGAAAGCCAGTTGAAGAGGTTTGAACCTTTTTAGGCAGTTGAGAACCGTTGAGCACTACAGCACCGTGAGAGATACTCTACTTCAGGTTCATTACTCTAATTCTGGGTTTTTGAATGGCTCGAGGCAGAAAGTATCAGAAGCAAAGAAATTAGGAGGCTACTGCACTACGATAGGCGAGAACTAATGGTGACTTGTACTTGGGCGGTGGTAATGGAAACAAAAGATAACATGGAGAGATACTGTGGAGGCAGAGTCGATGAGCTTGGTGACTAAGAGGATGACAGAACAGAGTGTGACATTCTCATAAAGTAGGCGTCCATATTAATTATTCAACCCTTTTATTCTTCAGCCTGGCAAAACGGTGGGTTTTTTTTTGTTGTTTGCTTTTCTTTTTTAGGTCCTATATATAACTCCAGTTTGGGGAGGCTCTTCTTCAGCCTCTCGATAGAAATTTCCAGAACTAATGGAGCACCCTGTTCTCTTCTGTGAAGCTGAGGCTAATCTTTTGCCTTTAGGCTCTAAGGCCTCGTCATGCTATACCTTTTCTTTTTTTTTCACACATATCAAAATTTTATTTACTTCAACAATGAAGAAATGACAAAGTCGTTCAGTAAAGATGTGAGAAACTGGGACTTATTTCGTCAACAGGGAAAGAAATGCTGAAGAAGGATGCTAAGTTAGGTACAAAAGCAGTTAATGTCCTACAGGGCAATAAACTACAAGCTTTTGGGGTTATCTTCTTTGGTAGACTAGAAAAAATTCACTGTACCTTAATTAGTCCTACCCATTACCCTCTAACTTTTGAGAGTTGTAAAACTGGGTGCTAATCGAACAATATTACATTCCCCAAGATAATGTGGTGACTCTCAGGCTTTCTTATTTGAAAATGCTCTAGCATGACATTAAAAGATCATGTGGTCATGTTTTTGCCTTTTTTCTAAAATGTGCATAATTTTTCCTAAACAATCCCCCCTGACCATAAATAATCTCTAAAGATTATTGTTGATCACATACTAAAAAAGGCCAATCTCCTGTTTTAGTGTCAAAATCATTCACTGAGCTTCTTGGTTAGTTGGCCATTTTCCTCACTTCTTACTTCATAGCGTCCTCTCATACCGAGCAGCAGTGTCTTCCTACCCGCCCATCACACCACCGTAATTATCATCTTTGCCTACAAGATCATAATTTCAGGCCCTAGTCTCCCTAAGTAACACTAGCATATAACTAGGGTTCAGTAACCTCTGAGAAGGTGTGACAGACATTGCTAGCTGTCTTATCCAGTATTCATTTTTTTTCTTTTCCGACAGGACCCAAAATTAGAATGGTAGTTCCATTGTGACCAGGAACTCATATCCTTCTGTTATTTTGCTGTTATCCTCATACATACTTTTCTACCTGATGGTCCAAGATGGCTACCTTCATCCATGTTATCTGCGTTCCAACCAGCAGGAAGGAGAAAAGGGAAGGCAAAGGGCACCTAACTTCCTCTGATGACACTTCCCAGAAGTCGCATACCACTTTTGTTCACTCTTGCTACCTAGAAATTAATTACATGGCTCCTAGCTGCAAGAGGAGGCTAGGAAATACAGTCTTTAGTCTGAGGGTCTGTGCGCCCAGCTAAAAATTGGGGATTCTGTTACTATGGAAGGAGGCGTGACCAGCAGTCTCTACCACTATGTGTAAAACTATATGGAGAAAATTATAACACTCCGTTGATATACATTAAAGAAAACTCAAATAGAGACAAAAACCATGTTCACATATGGGAAGATTCATATTATAAAAATGTCAGTTCTTCAGACTGATGTATAGATTGAATACAGTACCAAATAAAGAACTGGATAAGTTGATTCTGAAACATACGTGGAGAACCCAAGGGCCAAGACTAGCCGAGACACTCTTCAATGAGGGGACTAGCAATGCTGGACGTCATGACTTTTTTTTTTCTCCTAATGAATCGCCATTTTAACTCCCGTATAACACTAAGAGGCATAAAGAATTTTCAACGAAACACTGTAATAGCAAAAAACTGGAAACAATCTATATGTCCAACAACAGAATGATTAAATAAACTGATACAGCCATATTACAGGATATAATAGTTACGGTGAGATTATATGTACTGATATGGAAAGTTCTCTGAAACATGTTAAGTGCAAAGAAAAGATGTAGAATAATACAAACTATCTGATACCATTTACGTGTTTAAAATTCCATACGACTACATATTCCTACATGTAAATATACACCCATGTAAATACACAGAAAAAAGTCTGGGAGAATACATAACCAAAATGAATCAGTGTTTACCTCTGGAGAGAAAGGACTAGGATTTGGGATAGGTCAAAGAAGATTTTGGCCTTGTCTGTACGAACATTTTAATTTCTATTATTTACAAGTTTTAATTAAGTAAATGTATTTATATATTATTTATAAAATCAAAGCAAATCAAAAGCACCATACCGCACCCCCAAAATTACAGCTCTAGGTTTTAGTTGGTGTCCGTTTTCATGAGTCAGTGGGGTGATAGGATGGGGAGTGAAGAAAGCGCAAGGTGGCCTAAGGCTCTCGGACAGCCCAGGTCCACAACCAAGCAGGTGATGGTTTATCTCTACTCGCAGGCCACATCTGGACCAAACTTAGAGAGGCACATGGACACATGTGAGCTCACCCAGAAACAAGCCGGGTGACGCCAGGGGTCCACAGCACATCAAGGAGCAATAATTGAAGGAAGGACTAGTGAAATGAGATATAGAGTAAAGTGGTCCTCAAACACTTGAAGAGGTTTAATGAGGGGGAAGATAGTAATAATTCCAAGATGTTGGAGTTATTCAAGAAAAGACTAAAGGATCACTCGCCAGGGATGCTGTGGAAAAGATTAAATCGGGAGGAATTAGTCAGAACTGGATGATCTTCAAGATTCCAGCTAACCTTAAGAGTCCATTAAAAATCCCTTGGTCTCAGCCAGATTTACCAAAACCCTAAAACTCTTTTCTTTTGAGTTGTTTTGTTATGGAGAAGATGTTAACCTTTCGAAGGTACTTTGGCGCACTACAGACTGGAAGAAAGTGTCATCCCACGAGTACCAATTAAATGCCTCGGAGAATACGAAGATAACTGAAATGCTTCACAAGTACCAACTGAGGGGACATAATAAAAATTAAAGTTTAATTTTGTCTCTCCTTGCCTCTGCAAAGTTTATTTCACTGGGAGAGGTTTTCCTCTGACCTGGGTGAAAATTCCAGCATCCCTCTCTTTAGGTAACAGCCTTGCAATCACTAAGTAGGAAAACACACTCTTGATTCAGAAATATATTAACAAACACAGGCTTCCTCACACGTGAGGACAGTTCCAGCCTCAATGGAGAAGGACGAGGGAGGAATGTTCTTGGTGGCTTTGTGCTGTCTAGGCCTGGCTAATGTTGAGAGCTGACTGTCTCATGGGCGTTTGTATGGATCCATCAGAGACTTTCCTTCCAGACCCTTCTGACAGCCTCATCAGCTTCCTTGAAGTGAGATGATGCACTGTGTTTCCATGGCTACCAGTATACCTCTACAGGGAACCCTTTGTGAAGAGACCCACTAGGCTTCCAGGAAGTTCTCCACACTTGTTCCCCAGGATTCATGTATATTTGACCCTTCGTCAGAGCGGGTGCAGTTACTTCCAAGATGTAGCTGTCTACTTCGTTACCTCAGACTCTGTCCTTAGCCAGCCTTTACCTTGAAATTCCTCTGCCTTGAGTCACACACAGTCTAATGATCACCCCCTACCCAGGGACAAATATCAAATGCTTTAGCTGTCCCTTGAGGCCCTTCTTTCTTAAGTGAACAAATAAACTAAAGATTAGGTAGATCTGCGGCTGGGGAGTGATGAGGGAGTTGGGACAAAAGACAAAGGCGATCGAGGGTGTGGTAAAAGTGTCTTGGGACCATTGTGCAGGGAGCCTAGATGGACTGGTAAAGTGGAGCCACAAAGGATCTGGGACACTGGAACCGCAGCTGGGCCAAACCAACTGATGCTTCTCTTGAGGAGAAGGAAGTTCTCCCCAACTCTTCTTGAGACTGGATGAGGCTCATGACACGGCAGTAACTCTCTCCAAAGAAATCTCTTTTGTACACCGTATCTCTTTTTATACTCTTGAAATGGGAGCGGGGGTTCAAGAATCTTAGAACTGGCCCTTGGTAATTTCTTTGAAACTTCTGCATTTCTCTCTGATGTCTCCCTTTGAAATTTCATATCTATTATACCTTGATGCCTTAGCTGAAATATTCAATTTTAAATCTCGTTACGTATAAAACGTAATTGCCTTTATCAATCTTGCTTTATACCCCACCTCATCTCCTACCTAGACTCTATGTGATTTAGTCATACGTCATAGGCCAAGTCATAGGACAGCCATCAGGTCGCTCTGACATACTTTGGACGTGTCTTCCTTTAATGATAAAAAGCCAAGTCAATGCTTAGGTACCAGTACAATGGCCCCAATGCCCATAAAAAGGAAGCCCAGGACTTCCGCTTGGCTCCAAGCCCAGTTCTCCGTGACGTGTACCCAGGGCATCGGCCGTGGACTTTGGAGTCTGTCACTCACCAAGTGACCTAGATAAATTACCTTTTCTGAGCTTCGCTAAAATTCTGTAGAATAGTCTTACCTTTCAATTCAAAATTTAACTTTTAATTACACAATTAATGCATATTCTCCTTAGAAAAAAGCAAAACAGATGAGACTAAATTTCCTTTTTTCTCCTTAGAAAAAAGCAAAACAGACGAGACTAAATTTCCTTTGATTACCACCTCCTCTACTCTCCTGACTCCCCTCCAGATGAAACCACAATTAGTATTTTCTCTCTCCAATCTTTTTTTCAATCAAATCTGTTATTTTCCCTGTAAAATATAGGATAGTAATATCCATTCTGTGAGCTGGAACAGGGTGCCTATTTCCAGGAATGGTACTACCTGCCCTCTGAGTATTAGAAAATACCTTCCCCCCGCCCCCCCAAATTCAACAGATGTTATACACAGGATCTACAGCAGGAACAAGCCCCAGCCTGTTACACGGACATAGCCAGCCTCCCCTGGATAGAGGTCTGCTGGAGCCAAAGGCCCAGGGAACATTCTGCCTTTGTGCTCTTCCATTTTAGCCAAGTGAGGATTTTGTGTCGTGTCTTCTCTTCCCTGTGGCTTTCATTTCAAGTTGCAGAAAGAAAGAGATCATATGCCCAGATTTCCACCTCAAAACGGCTTTCCAGCTGAGTAAAACAAAGACAAAATACAAAGCAGCCCTCCCTTCCCCCACAATTCTGTGCTTCCATCACTCCTCAGGACAAGGGACACTCCTGCAATAGCTTCTTCCTACTGTCAGAGAAGACGCATGAGCCAGTTTCAGAGGTCCAAAGTTTCAGTTCTCAGATGTCTCACAGCAGGATTTTATCTCAGCATAAGAACAAATTCCGTTTATTGAGCATCTACTTTGCCAGCCATGACATGTTTCTTTATGTATACCTAATTTAATTCTAAAAAAAGCCACGTTTGCATTATGATTATCCTCATATTACAGATGAAAGAACCGATGACTGATGAAGGCTCAAAAACATTAAGTAATTCTTTTTGTTTTGTTTTGTTTTGACGCCTACAGCACCTAGGTAGTCTCCCATCCAAGTACTAACCAGGCCCGACCCTGCTTAGCTTCTGAGGTCAGATAGGATCGGGCTTATTCAGGGTGGCATGGTTGCAAACAATAATTCTGTTCTTAAACTGACTTCCTGATACAAAAGACATGTTTAAGAACAGTACTGGTCAGTGGGAAGTAGCATCTGGGAGCAGGAATAAGCAGTAAGAAAACTTGGGGAGGCTAGGAGAGGTGGGGTAATAGCAAATTAAGAGAAAGAAAAATGCATGTCCCAGCAAGAAACGCGATTCACCCAAACCACTCAGTCTGGGACGTGCTCTGGGGTGTGTGTGTGTTTGTGTGTGTGTGTGCGTGTTTAAACAAATCTCTATAGCAACCATCTGGTTTCTGTCTATGACAACACAGGCTCGTGGTATCTAAATATGGGCTCTGGTGAAAATGAGTGAGGGCTGGGGACGGGAAGTGAGACAGCTGAATCAACGGGAAACTATGCAGAACAGGCAGATTCCTCTTGTCTATCCCTCCCAGCCCACCTTCAAGGCAGGAAAGGGGCTTAAGGCCCTGACTCTCTCTGATTCGCAGCAATCAGTTAAGAGCTGAGCCTGCATACATTTTATCTTATTTTAACCAATTATGTAAATTCCTATCCAGTCAGGGGGATCCTCTTGGTGCAAGAGGCAAAGGACAGAAATTTTTGCTTCCTATTTTCACCCCAGGTGCCACTTTCGGGTGGCTAGGTCAGAGGATCCCCCCTTGTGAGGGCGTGGCAGCCCTAGAGGGAAAGGTGAGGGAGAAGGAGAAGCCTGGAGCAGGTTTGGGGAAAGGACAGGCACTGCTGAGAAGACCGAGGGGGATGGGCCGGGGTGGCGAGAGCCCCTTCCTTAAGTCAGCGCTGTGGCTCTCTACCAGGGAACTCCAGGGGACATCCGGCCGTGTCTGGGGACTTTTTGATTGTCCTGGCTGAGCGTCTCGTGGGTAGAGGACAGAGATGCTGTTAACCTGAAATACGTAGGACAGCCCCCACGATTGAGAAGTTTCTGGTCCAAAATGTCAGTAGTCTCAAGGTGGAAACCCTGAGTTAGAAGGTGCTCGTCCTACATGAGTCCTTTTTCAGTCCACTGCAGGAGCACCGGTGATAGGTCAAACGACTTGAAGGGGATACTATAGATGCCACTTTGTTCCCTTGGGCCCCGAGTTCCTCTCAAACTTCCAACCCAAATATTTATTTAGTTTGTTTACGTCTAACAAAAATAAATCTAAGCCGGAGTCCCAAATTTGCTGTGAAATCAGCTTCTTCTTGAGGAGAAGGTATAGGAAAAGAGGTATGGGAAAAGCTGCCTAACAGGCTCTGCACCTGAGCAAAGGGCACACTCTCTCGGCTTCGGTTTCACCTTCTGTAAAATGAGTACACTGAATTCGATGATCTCTGATGTCCCTTTAGTTCCAAAACTATGTACTTGAGGACGTTTCTTGTGCGTTGGTCTACCCAGTTGGGTCAACAGAAAAGGAAATGACTCAGAAATGCAATGGAGGGAAGTTTGAGGGTGACTCATGGGACTTCCGTAGTTCTACGAGGCACTTCAGACATGGACCTAATATCAAAGTGAGACTCATGGTCGCTGAAAGATGCCAGGACTTTCCTTTATCTGAGGAGGTGGTACACACATGGGGGTGGGGTGGGCGGGGGAAGGGTTAGCAACGCTAAGTTTCCTCTGCCCCCTGAAAAAAAAATTCCCCCATAGTGTTGCTAATGTTTGAATGTCTACCATGAGAGCTTTATCTCCTGTGAAAAACGCAAACATCCTAGCACATTCTAGGTATCAATTTGATGTTATCAACTGGGTTTGGGACTTTAAGGTAGGGAGCTGGCGCTAGATCATGAATGATGCTTGTTGATGTAGTGCTTGCAGTTAAGATGCATAATTTGAGAAAAGTTTGTGTGCCATGTGTATTATATTCAGTTCAATCTTTTCAATCTAAATATTATAATAAAGATTTAATAACTGAGAGTTCATGTTTTTAGTAATTCTAGTATCTGCCTATGATAAATATATGTCAGAACAAGGTTAAAAAAAGTCCATCTAAATACACCAAATGGTCTACGGCCATGCCACCCTGAACAAGCCCGATCCTGTCTGATCTCGGAAGCTAAGCAGGGTCGGGCCTGGTTAGTACTTGGATGGGAGACTGCCTAGGAAGACCAGGTGCTGTAGGCATAAAAAAAATAAATAAATAAGAGATTGTAAGATGACAAGGTCCTTGCGATCTGTGAGGTCAACCAAGGGTTGCCTTGCGTTAAAATTAAAATTAAAAAAATAAAAAATACACCAAATGCCTCCATCACTAAACTTGCAGAACTTTTCTCCTAATCAAAGGGGCCACATTACCACAGCACGCTTATCAGCGCTGAGCGCTGTCACAGGGGACACGTTCACGTCTTACAGAAAAAACCGTCCTTGGGTGATAATCGAGCGCTTGGCCTTTGCTTGGCCTTCGTCATATGGCTCAGCTTAGAGAGACTCAGCGTCGTCGGGGGAGCCGCCTTCCAACGCTGTT